TCTATCTTCGCCCTCTATCTTCCCCCTCTATCATCCTCCTCTATCCTCCCCCTCTGTCTTCCCCCTCTATGTCCCCCCTCTATCCTCCCCCTCTAATCCTCCCCTCTAATCTCCCCCCCTCTATCTTCCCCCTCTATATTCCCCCTCTATCTTCGCCCCTCTATATCCTCCCCCTCCAGCACTCCCCCTCTATATTCCCCCTCTATATTCCCCCTCTATCTTTCCCCCTCTATCACCTCCTCTCCTCTATTCCTCCCCCTCTGTCTTCCCCCTCATCTTCCCCCCTATCCTTCCTCCCCCTCATCCTCCCCCTCTATCTTCCCCCTCTATTTCCCCCTCTATCCTCCCCTCTAATCTCCCCCCTCTATCATCCCCCTATATCCCCTCCTCCTCTATCCTCCCCCTCATCTTACCCCTCTAATCTTCCCCTTCTATCCTCCCCCTCTATCCTCCTCCCCCTCGATTTTTCCCCCTCTATCTTCCCCCTCTATCTTTCTTCCCCCTCTATCACCCTCCTTTATTAAACCTCCCCTCCCCTCTATCTTCCCCTTCTGTCCTCTGTCCTCACCCCTCTATCCTCCCCCTCTAATCTTCCCCCCTATCTTCCCCTCTTCGTCCCCCCTCTTCCCCCTCTATCTCCCCTCTATCTTCCCCCTCTCCTATCATCCCTCTATAATCCCCTCTCCCCTATCTTCCGCCTCTATCTTCCCCCTCTATCCTCCCCCTCTATATCCCCCTCTAATCTTCCCCCCTCTCTCTTCCCCTCTATCCGCCCCCTCTATCTCCCCCTCTATCTTCCCTCATATTCCCCCTCTATCTTCCCCCTCTATCCTCCCCCTCTATCTTCCCCCCTATATTCCCCCTCTATCTTCCCCCTCTATCCTCCCCCTCTATCTTCCCCCTCTATTTTCCCCCTCTATATTCCCTTCCCCCCTCTATCTCCCCCCTCTAAATCCTCCCCCCTCTATCTTCCCCCTCTATTATTCCCCCCTCTATCTTCCCCCTCTATCCTCCCCCTCTATCTTCCCTCTCTATATTCCCCCTCTATCTTCCCCCTCTATCTATAATACTGGTTTATCTCTCCATCATCTATAATACTGGTTTGTCTCTTCACTCAAGAGAAGAGAGGTAGGAGAGGAGAGGAGGGGGAGAGGAAAGGAGAGGAGCGTAGGTTACAGAGGAGCTTAGAGAGAACGTAGTAGAGGAGGCGGGGTATCGTAGAGGAGATTAGAGGAGAGATAAGAGGAGACGTCTCAGTAGATGCTCTTCTCTTCTCTTCTCTTCCTTACTCTTTCATCATTCCGTTCTCTCCTCTTCCTCCTTTTCCTTCCCTCTCTCAATTTCTCTCTTTTCGAAATGTCTTTTAGTCTTAAACGCTGTGTCCCAATAGTCTGAAGTGGCTTCCTCTCTTCCTCTCTCTCTTCTATAGATATTAACGCTGTGTCCCAATAGTCTGAAGTGGCTTCCTCTCATCATACCATTTCACACTGTCCCAAATGATACCCTATTCCCCACGTAGTGCACTACCTTTGACCAGATCAGCGCCCTGTGGGTGTGATGGGGCTGGACGTCACGGACGGTGTAGTGACCGAACTGGGATGCACTCAACTCTGCATGACCCCTCTCCTTCCTCTTCCTTAGAATCTGTCTCAACCAATTGGAATGCAGTCGGGTGAGCGCTTGACGTGCAGAAGGAACAGGATCGTGACAGTCAGTCATGGACCAAAAAAAAAAAAGATCTTAACGCGCATCATGTTTGTATGAGTAAATAAGCCTGAAGAGATGTGATGCTTTTCTCTTAAAGTCCGTGAGACATCAAAGTTTCCCCCTAAGTCTACGTCCAAAACTGCACCCTATTCCCTATACAGTGCACTACTTTTAACCAGAGCTCTATGGGCCCTGGTCAAAAAGTAGTACACTATATAGGGAATAGGGCTCTGTTTGGGACGTAGACTTATAGAGCTCTGGTCAAAAGTAGTGCACTATATAGAGAATAGGCTTCTATTTGGGAAGCAGACACGTTTCCCAGGTCTGCGTGACTTGACCGAGTGGTCATATTTAGGATTTTAAGGTTTTAAGGAAGAGAGGGCAAGAGAGGGGAAGAGAGGAGCGAGGGAGGGAGGGAGGGAGAGGAGGGTGGGGGTTCTTTCCAGGAAGTGAAGGCGTTGCGTCTTGAGGGCTGGTAAGAGTCCACATCAGATCACATCAGTGTCACGTCAGTGTCTCGTCTACTTCCATGGGGTATTAATGAATACAACTTAACTTAACAGTAACTTGGCCAGTCTATGTAACCCTGTATATACAGTACCAGTCAAAAGTTTGGACACACCTACTCATTCAAGCGTTTTTCTTAATTTTTACTATTTTCTACATTGTAGAATAATAGTGAAGACATTACAACTATGAAATAACACATATGGAATCATGTAGTAACCAACAAAAGTGTTAAACACTGTCCACCTCCTCTCCTCTCCTCTCCTTCTCTCCTCTCCTTTTCTCCTCTCCTTCTCACTCATCTTGTCTCCTCTCCTTCTCACTCCTCTCCTCTCCTCTCCTTCTCTCCACTCCCCTCTCCTCTCCTTCTCCCTCCTCTCCTCTCCTCACTCCTCTCCTCTCCTCTCCTCGTCGCTCTCCTCTCCTCTCCTCTCCTCTCCTCTCCTCTCCTTCTCTCTCCATCCTACTCCCGTCTCCTCTCCCTCCTCTCCTCTCATCTCCGCTTCTTCCTCTCCTCTCCTCTCCTCCACCTCCTTCCTCTCCTCTCCTCTCTCTCCCTCTTCTCTCATCCTCTCCTCGTCCTCCATCCTCGGTGATCCCTCTATCCACTAATCGCCGCATCCCTCCTCTCCTCTCCTCTCCTCGTCCTCTCCTCTCCCTCTCTCTCCTCTCGCTCTCCCATCCTTCCCTCCTCGTCCTCAGGAATCCTTCCAAAAGAGAAAAAGAAACAAAAAGAAAATCCTCAGTCCTTTCGCTCTCCTCCCCCTCCCCCCTCTCCCTCTCCTCTCTCCTCTCCTGCTCCCCCCCCTCTCCTCTCCTCTCCTTCTCTCTCCTCTCCTCTTCTCCTTCTCTGCTCTCTTCGTCCTCCTGCCTCGTTCTCTTCTCTTCTCCTCCCTCTCCGTTCCTGCTTATTCTCCTCCTTGCCTTCTCTCCGTCTCCCCATCCTTCTCCCATTGTCTCCTCCCTCTCCTCTCCTCATAATCCTCCCGGCGTCCTCTCCCTCTTCCGTCCCTCTCCTCCAATCCTCTGATTCCTGGCTCCCTCCTCTCCTCTCCTCTCCTCTCCTCTCCTCTCCTCTCCTGCATCCTCGGTCCGTCTCCTCTCGCTCGGTCCTCTGCTCTCAATCACTCTCCGTCGGTCCTCTCTGCTCGTCCTTCTTCTCTAGGCTCTCCTCTCCGTCTCCCCACCCCCCTTCCCGTCTCCTCCTCCTCATCCCTCGGTCCTCTCTTCCTCTCCTCTCCTTTTCTCCTACTCCTTGGCCTGTCCCTCGCTCTCTGTCTTCCTCAATCTTCTCCCAGCGATAGTCCTCTCCTCTCTCTCTCCTTAATCGTCATGTCCTCGCTCTTCCTCGATCCTTCTCACGAATCGACTCTCCTTCACTCCTTCCTCTTTTCCTTCTCTCATGACTCTTCTCCCTCTCATTCCTCATCTCCTCTCCCTCCTCTCAATTCTCACTCTCTCCTCTCCTCTCCTCTCCTCTCCTCGTCCTCCTCTCCTCTCCTCTTCCTCTCCTGCTCCTCTCCTCTCTCATCCTCTCCTCTCCTCCCTCTCCCTCTCCTCACCTCTCCTCTCCTCTCCTCTCCTCTCCTCGTCCTCTCCTCTCCGTCTCCTCCTCCTCTCCCTCTCGCTCTCCTCATCCCTCTCCTCTTCTCCTCGCTCCTCTCCTTCTTTCTTCTCTCCTCTCCTTCTCCCACCCCACTCCTCTCGTCCTCTCCTCTCCTCTCCGTCTCCTTCCGATCCTCTATTTTCCTCGCTCTCCTTCTCACGGTCCTATCTCTTCCTCCTCTCTCCTGTTCTCCCCGTCCTCCCTCCACTCCTCTCTTCTCTCTCCTTCCTCCTCCTCCTCTTCCTCTCAAATTCTCACTCCTCTCCTCTCCTTCTCTCCTTCCTCATTCTCCTCTTCTCTCCTCTCATCATTGCTCACAATCCTCTCCTCAGTCATTCTCAACATCCTCGACGGAGATACAACCGTGCCTCCTCCTACATCCTCTCCGTCGTGCCTCTCCTTCTCCTCTCCTCTTCCGTCCATCCTCATCACTGCTCCGTCTCCTCTCCTCTCCTCCATCCTCTCCTCTCCTTCATCCTCTCCTCTCCTCTCCTCTCCTCTCCCGTCTCTCAGTCACATTCTGCCTGCGTTCCTCTCCTCTCCCTGTCCTCTCCTCTGCTCCTCTCTCTTCTCCTTCTTTCTCTCTCGCTCTCAGACTCTCAGCTCCCAAACGCCCTCCTCTCGTCACTCGTTTCTCTGCCTCTCGGCTTCTCTCCTTTCCTTTGTCCCAGGTCGCATCGTCCTTTTCCTTCCCCCCCCCCTCCTTCCTTTTCGTCCTTCTCCTTATCTATCGGACATTCGCTGGTGTACTTCGTCTCCTCTCTCATTTTGTTCTTGGTATCATATGTCTCCTCGCTTGTTCGATGCCCATCTCCTTTTGTATCTCTACCTATCTTCTCCTTTCTCCTTTTCTCACTCTAAACGTCCCTGCTTTTTATGCCTCATCCGAAGAGTCGTCGCTCTCCAGGATCTCCTCTCCCTCTCCATCTCACTCTCCTCCTCCATCATCCTCATCCCCGTCATACCTCTCCTCTCCGTCGTCCTCGATCCTCTAACCTCTCCTCCTCCTCTCACTCCTGAGTCCTCTCCTCTCGCTTCCTCCTCTCGCTCTTTCCTCTCCTCTCTCGTCATCTCGCTGCTTCCTGCCCAGCCTCTCTCGCTCTTTCCTTCTTCTCCTGTCTTCCTCACCATCCTCTCCAACTCTCTCTCTCCCCTTTCATGCTTCCCTCTCTCCCTCCTTCTACCCGCTGTCCTTGTCCTGCTTTCCCCCTTTCTGTCCCTCACTCTCCTTCTCTCTCCTCCCTCCATCCCTCCCTCCATCCCTGTGGAAAACCCTCTGACTGTGTTTATCTATTCTCAGGTTGTCACTCATATCTCACAGATTACAGGGAAATAGCTCTCAGCTGAATGGTGTGTGTGTGTGTGTGTGTGTGTGTGTGTGTGCTTCAGCTGAATGGGGGGGGGGGGGGGTGGCAGAAAGGAGCCTATTTCATACAGGGTACTCCAGTTTGCCTGCTGAGAAAAGAAGAGGTGTGTAGAAATACAACAGATTAGAGAGGATAAATCTCCTTATCTTCAACTCCTTATCTACCTATTGTAGAAGGAAGGAGGTGTTCTAGAATCCTGTCTGTAGACTCCCGAGTGGCGCAGTGGTCTAAGGCACCACTAGAGATCCTGGTTCAAGTCCAGGCTCTGTCGCAGCTGGCCGTGACCGGGAGACACATGGGCGGTGCACAATTGGTCGTCCAAGGTAGGGGAGGGTTTGGCCGGCAGGGATGTGGGTTCGTTTCCCACGGGGGGCCTGTATGAAAAAAAAAAAAAAAAACATGTATGCATTCACTAACTGTAAGTTCCTCTGGAAAAGAGCGTCTGCTAAATGACTAAAATGTAAAAATATGTAGAACCATCTGATTACCACAATGTTACAGGATCTTGATACATTTTCTAGCCTCTCTGGATTACAACCAAATTGTGATAAATGTACTATATTACGTATTGGATCACTAAAAAATAAACATTTTACATCACCATGTAGTTTACCAATAAAATGGTCTGATGGTGATGTGGATATACTCAGAATACATATCCCAAAGGAAATAAATGATCTCACTCCAATACATTTTAATAGAAAGTTAGCAAAAATAGATAAGATCTTGCTACCATGGAAAGGTAAATACCTGTCAATTTGTGGAAAAATCACCCTTGATTAACTCTTTAGTATTATCCCAGTTTACCTATTTGCTTATGGTCTTGCCTACGCCTAGCAAACAGTTTTTTAAATTCTATGAGAAAAAAATATTCCATTTTATTTGGAACGGCAAGCCAGACAAAATTAAATGGGCCTATTTATATAATGAATATGAATTCGGAGGACAGAAATGATTAAATATTAAAGCATTAGACCTATCACTAAAAGCTTCAGTCATACAAAGGTTATACTTAAATCCGAACTGGTTCTCTAGCAAATTAGTAAGATTGTCTCACCCAATGTTCAAGAAAGGCCTTTTTCCCTTTATTCAGATTACAACCACTCACTTTCAGTTATTTGAAAAGGAGATCATCTCCGAAATATCACTATTTCTAAAACAAGCCATAGAAAGTTGGTTGCAATTTCAATTGAATCCTCCAGAAACCACAGAACAAATAATGCAACAAAAATTGTGGTTAAACTCAAATATACTAATTGATTAAAAAAACTTTTCTTTTTGACAAAATGTTTAAAAAAAAGGTATGATCTTCATAAATGATATCATCGGTAGGACTGGTGGAGTTATGCAGCTAACAAAAACATATGGAAATGTCTGCTCTACCCAAAATTACAACCAAATAATTGCAGCATTACCACAAAAATGAAAGAGGAAAGTGGAAGGGGGAAAAAGTAAGGAACTTGTCTGTCGGCCTTGCATTAAAGAACATAATTGGTTAAGGAAAACTGTGATAATTAAAAAAGTATATCAGTTTCATTTAAGGACCAAAGGATTGACAGCCGTCCCATATAGATTGCAAAATAGTTGGGAAGAGATTTTTGACGTACCGATCCCATAGCATAGTGTTTATGAACTGATACGAAAAACGACACCGGATTCAAAAATTAGAATCTTTCAATTTAAATTATTATATAAAATTCTTGCTACCAATATAATGTTATTTATATGGGGGATACAATCTTCCCAGCTCTGAAGATGTTGCTGCGAATAGACGGAATCATTAGATCATTTGTTTTGGTACTGTCCATTTGTAGCTTGTTTTTTAACACAGGTCCAGGAATGGCTAAAGGATTGCAATATTTACCTGGAGCTAACCCTGCAGATAGTATGACTGGGTGATCTGAAAAGTCATAGTCAATCAATCAATAATATAATAATACTTTTAGCAAAAATGATTATTTGCAATTTACAATCTGTAGAAACAATGAGAATAGAAGGGTTCAGAACTTTTGTAAAACATCACAGTACAGTTGAAAAATATATGGCAAATAGAAATCCAATATGGATGGTGTTAAGAGATAGATGGGTGGTGTTGAATGGAGTTGAAGGATGGGACTAATAACAACTAACAACAACTAATAACAACAAGATAACTAATAATGTAAGCATACTGTATCCATAATAAGTATATAGGTTTTGGTTGAGAGCTTTTGTGAAAGAGCACAGTTAGAAAGATATGGCATAAAGAAGCAAACATTATGAAAATGATCGGAGAGGTTGAGGGTAGAGGAAGTTCAGGAGTAAAAACTTACAAAATATAATTATTGTAAAATTGACTGTGTCCATTAAATGTATATAGTATGTATAAGCTGGAAGTAGAGGCCTAAGCGTTGTTGTTCACTAGTTTACTCCAATTAGGGAAGGGGTGGTGGGGTTGGAAAGTAATAAAGGGAAATATAAAAAAAAAGATATATATATACAGTGGGGAGAACAAGTATTTGATACACTGCCGATTTTGCAGGTTTTCCTACTTACAAAGCATGTAGAGGTCTGTAATTTGTATCATAGGTACACTTCAACTGTGAGAGACGGAATCTAAAACAAAAATCCAGAAAATCACATTGTATGATTTTTAAGTAATTAATTTGCATTTTATTGCATGACATAAGTATTTGATCACCTACCAACCAGTAAGAATTCCGTCTCTCACAGACCTGTTAGTTTTTCTTTAAGAAGCCCTCCTGTTCTCCACTCATTACCTGTATTAACTTCACCTGTTTGAACTCGTTGCCTGTATAAAAGACACCTGTCCACACACTCAATCAAACAGACTCCAACCTCTCCACAATGGCCAAGACCAGAGAGCTGTGTAAGGACATCAGGGATAAAATTGTAGACCTGCACAAGGCTGGGATGGGCTACAGGACAATAGGCAAGCAGCTTGGTGAGAAGGCAACAACTGTTGGCGCAATTATTAGAAAATGGAAGAAGTTCAAGATGACGGTCAATCAACCCTCGGTCTGGGGCTCCACGCAAGATCTCAACCTCGTGGGGCATCAATGATCATGAGGAAAGTGAGGGATCAGCCCCAGAACTACACGGCAGGACCTGGTCAATGACCTGAAGAGAGCTGGGACCACAGTCTCAAAGAAAAACCATTAGTAACACACTACGCCGTCATGGATTAAAATCCTGCAGCGCACGCAAGGTCCCCCTGCTCAAGCCAGCGCATGCCCAGGCCCATCTGAAGTTTGCCAATGACCATCTGGATGATCCAGAGGAGGAATGGGAGAAGGTCATGTGGTCTGATGAGACAAAAATAGAGCTTTTTGGTCTAAACTCCACTCGCCGTGTTTGGAGGAAGAAGAAGGATGAGTACAACCCCAAGAACACCATCCCAACCGTGAAGCATGGCGGTGGAAACATTATTCTTTGGGGATGCTTTTCTGCAAAGGGGACAGGACGACTGCACCGTATTGAGGGGAGGATGGATGGGGCCATGTATTGCGAGATCTTGGCCAACAACCTCCTTCCCTCAGTAAGAGCATTGAATATGGGTTGTGGTTGGGTCTTCCAGCATGACAACGACCCGAAACACACAGCCAGGGAAACTAAGGAGTGGCTACGTAAGAAGCATCTCAAGGTCCTGGAGTGGCCTAGCCAGTCTCCAGACCTGAACCCAATAGAACATCTTTGGAGGGAGCTGAAAGTCCGTATTGCTCAGCGACAGCCCCGAAACCTGAAGGATCTGGAGAAGATCTGTATGGAGGATTGGGCCAAAATCCCTGCTGCAGTGTGTACAAACCTGGTCAAGACCTACAGGAAACGTATGATCTCTGTAATTGCAAACAAAGGTTGCTGTACCAAATATTAAGTTCTGCTTTTCTGATGTATCAAATACTTTTGTCATGCAATAAAATGCAAATTCATTACTTAAAAATCATACAATGTGATTTTCTGGATTTTTGTTTTAGATTCCGTCTCTCACAGTTGAAGTGTACCTATGATAAAAATGACAGACCTCTACATGCTTTGTAAGTAGGAAAACCTGCAAAATCGGCAGTGTATCAAATACTTGTTCTCCCCACTGTATATATGTTAAAGCATGGTTGTGACAGCGTTATTTAAGTGGCTCCCTGGAATACTAAACCAACCAAACTGAATGACTGAATCGTTCCCTTTCTCTGACAGCAGCCATCCATCCAGTACAGCTGTTAAGATAGAGACTCTGTTCCCTCTGGTGTGTGTTTGTGTGTGTGTGTGTGTCGGTCTAAGTGTGTGTGTGTGTGTGTGTGTGTGTGTGTGTGTGTGTGTGTGTGTGTGTGTGTGTGTGTGCTGCATCAGACCCAGGAGACACGGGGACTTCAGTAATGTGGTTTACCTCTGAAGTACTGGAAGACATCAAAGAGAGGAGGAGAGAGATAGGAGGGGGAGAGGAGGAGAGAGAGAGAGAGAGAGAGAGAGAGAGAGAAGAGAGAGAGAGAGAGCAGGGGAAGTGAGAGAGAGAGATAGAAGCAGGGATGGAGATGAGAGACAGAGACAGAGAGAGAGCTAAGGGCTCGTCACGAGAGAGCGAGCTCATCGAGATATCTATGAGAAGGGAGTTATAGCGAGAGATATAGGCTCTAGAGCTCATATCTCGTCTATCTCTAGTAGTACTATCTCTCTAGATTCTCTCTCTTCACAGATCTTCTCTCTATCTCCTAATACTCTGCCTCCTTAATTTACTATACACAGTTTGGGACAAGGAGAGGAGGAGGAGGAGGAGGAGGAGGGAAAGAGAGGGGGGATGAAGAGGAGGATCTGAAGAAAGGTGACATTCTTATATCTACATCCCAAATGCTACCCTATTCCCTACCAGACCCTGGTCTAAAGTAGTGCACTTCCTAGGGAATACGGTGCCATTTGGGACGCAGGGGATATTTAAAAGGAAACCAGCCGTCAGGTGTGTTGGGTTAGTATACATTACCATCAGGTGTGCTGGGTTAGTATCCATTACCATCAGGTGTGCTGGGTTAGTATCCATTACCATCAGGTGTGCTGGGTTAGTATCCATTACCATCAGGTGTGTTGGGTTAGCATCCATTACCATCAGGTGTGTTGGGTTAGTATCCATTACCATAAGGTGTGTTGGGTTAGTATCCATTACCATCAGGTGTGTTGGGTTAGTATCCATTACCATCAGGTGTGCTGGGTTAGTATCCATTACCATAAGGTGTGTTGGGTTAGTATCCATTACCATCAGGTGTGTTGGGTTAGTATCCATTACCATCAGGTGTGCTGGGTTAGTATCCATTACCATCAGGTGTGTTGGGTTAGTATCCATTACCATCAGGTGTGTTGGGTTAGTATCCATTACCATCAGGTGTGTTGGGTTAGTATCCATTACCATCAGGTGTGCTGGGTTAGTATCCATTACCATCAGGTGTGCTGGGTTATTATCCATTACCATCAGGTGTGCTGGGTTAGTATCCATTACCATCAGGTGTGTTGGGTTAGTATCCATTACCATCAGGTGTGTTGGGTTAGTATCCATTACCATCAGGTGTGCTGGGTTAGTACCATTACCATCAGGTGTGCTGGGTTAGTATCCATTACCATCAGGTGTGCTGGGTTAGTATCCATTACCATCAGGTGTGCTGGGTTAGTATCCATTACCATCAGTGTGCTGGGGTTAGTATCCATTACCATCAGGTGTGTTGGGTTAGTATCCATTACCATCAGGTGTGTTTGGGTTAGTATCCATTACCATCAGGTGTGCTGGGTTAGTATCCATTACCATCAGGTGTGCTGGGTTAGTATCCATTACCATCAGGTGTGCTGGGTTAGTATCCATTACCATCAGGTGTGCTGGGTTAGTATCCATTACCATCAGGTGTGTTGGGTTAGTATCCATTACCATCAGGTGTGTTGGGTTAGTATCCATTACCATATCCATACCATCAGGTGTGCTGGGTTAGTATCCATTAACATCAGGGTTGGTGCTGGGTTAGTATCTTTTACCATCAGGTTGTGTTGGGTTAGTATCCATTACCATCATTGTGCTGGGTTAGTATCCATTACCATCAGGTGTGCTGGGTTGTATCCATTACCATCAGGGTGTGATGGGTTAGTATCCATTACCATCAGGTGTGTTGGGTTAGTATCCATTACCAATCAGGTGTGTTGGGTTAGTAATCCATTACCATCAGGTGTGTTGGGTTAGTATCCATTACCATCAGGTGTGCTGGGTTAGTATCCATTACCATCAGGTGTGCTGGGTTAGTATCCATTACCATCAGGTGTGCTGGGTTAGTATCCATTACCATCAGGTGTGCTGGGTTAGTATCCATTACCATCAGGTGTGTTGGGTTAGTATCCATTACCATCAGGTGTGCTGGGTTAGTATCCATTACCATCAGGTGTGCTGGGTTAGTATCCATTACCATCAGGTGTGCTGGGTTAGTATCCATTACCATCAGGTGTGCTGGGTTAGTATCCATTACCATCAGGTGTGCTGGGTTAGTATCCATTCCCATCAGGTGTGCTGGGTTAGTATCCATTACCATCAGGTGTGCTGGGTTAGTATCCATTACCATCAGGTGTGCTGGGTTAGCATCTCTTCACTTCCCTCTCCTTTCTCTCTATAGGCCCTGGTCAGACCTAGTGCACTATGTAGGGAATAGGGTAGCATTTGGGACTTATTCTTCTCGTTCTGTGTTCTACAGTCATAGTAACCACATTACACAATGCCCTGTTAAACACACAAACACACACACATAAACACATACACATATACACACACACACACACACATACATACACACTCACACACACACCCACACACACACGAAGGTACAAGTCGTGAAATGTTAATTGTGTTTAACAGGAATACAACCTGTTTGTGTGTGTGCATGTGACTCGTGATGCCAAGGTATGTATCTGTTCTATAGGGTTCCATATCTACAGCATTACCTCATTAAAGGGATGTATATGTTCTATAGGGTTCCATATCTACAGCATTACCTCATTAAAGGGATGTTTCTGTTCTATAGGGTTCCATATCTACAGCATTACCTCATTAAAGGGATGTATATGTTCTATAGGGTTCCATATCTACAGCATTACCTCATTAAAGGGATGTTTCTGTTCTATAGGGTTTCCATATCTACAGCATTACCTCATTAAAGGGATGTATCTGTTCTATAGGGTTCCATATCTACAGCATTACCTCATTAAAGGGATGTTTCTGTTCTATAGGGTTCCATATCTACAGCATTACCTCATTAAAGGGATGTATCTGTTCTATAGGGGTCTATATCTACATCATTACCTCATTAAAGGGATGTATCTGTTCTAAAGGGTTCCATATCTACAGCATTACCTCATTAAAGGGATGTGTCTGTTCTATAGGGGTCTATATCTACATCATTACCTCATTAAAGGGATGTATCTGTTCTAAAGGGTTCCATATCTACAGCATTACCTCATTAAAGGGATGTATCTGTTCTATAGGGTTCCATATCTACAGCATTACCTCATTAAAGGGATGTATCTGTTCTATAGGGGTTCCATATCTACAGCATTACCTCATTAAAGGGATGTATCTGTTCTACAGGGTTCCATATCTACAGCATTACCTCATTAAAGGGATGTATCTGTTCTACAGGGTTCCATATCTACAGCATTACCTCATTAAAGGGATGTATCTGTTCTATAGGGGTTCCATATCTACAGCATTGTCACACCCTGGCTCTGGGACTCTATATGTTGAGCCAGGGTGTGTTCATTCTATGTGTTCTATTTCTATGTTGGGGGTTCTAGGTTGTGTATTTCTATGTTTGCCTGAGTGACTCCCAATCAGAGGCAACGAGTGTCAGCTGTTTGCTGGTTGTCTCTGATTGGGAGCCATATTTATACTGTCTGTTTTCCTTTTGTGTTTGTGGGTTCTTGTTCCTTGTCGGTCATTGTTACCGTGGACTTCACGAGTCGTTTATTGTTTTGTTGTTTCGTGTGTGCACTTTAATTAAATAAAGTATCATGTTCGTTCATCACGCTGCGCATTGGTCTCTCCCTGACGATCGTGACAAGCATTACTTCATTAAAGGGATGTGTCTGTTCTATAAGGTTCCATATCTACAGCATTACCTCATTAAAGGGATGTGTCTGTTCTATAGGGTTCCATATCTACAGCATTACCTCATTAAATGGATGTGTCTGTTCTATAGGGTTCCATATCTACAGCATTACCTCATTAAGGGATGTATCTGTTCTATAGGGTAATGAGATATTTATAAAGAGGAGAGGTGTTGTGATACAATATGTTTTTTAAATCTGTTTTTAAAGATAAACTTACTTTAAACCTCTGGTGGAAGAGTATTCCAAGATGACATGCCTCTATACATAACTGAGCAAAGCATTACATCAGATTTTGTTTGGGTGAAGAAACCCATTGTGGCGTTTCTGGTGGGGTATGTACACTATATATACAAAAGTAGGTGGACACCCCTTCAAATCAGTGGATTCGGCTATTTCAGCCACACCCGTTGCTGACAGGTGTATAAAATCGAGCACACCGCCATGCAATCTCCATAGACAAACATTGGCAGTAGAATGGCCTTACTGAAGAGCTCAGTGGCTTTCAACGTGGCACCGTCATAGGATGCCACCTTTCCAACAAGTCAGATCGTCACATTTCTGCCCTGCTAGAGCTGCCCCGGTCAACTGTAAGTGCTGTTATTGTGACGTGGAAACGTCTAGGAGCAACAACGGCTCAGCCTCGAAGTGGTAGGCCACACAAGCTCATAGAACGGGACCACAGAGTGCTGAAGCTTGTAACGTGTAAAAATCGTCTGTCCTCGGTTGCTAGACTCACTACCGAGTTCCAAACTACCTCCGGAAGCAACGTCAGCACAATAACTGTTAGTCGGCAGCTTCATGAAATGGGTTTCCATGGCAGAGCAGCCGCACACAAGCCTAAGATCACCTTGTGCAATGCCAAGCGTCAGCTGGAGTTGTGTAAAGCTCGCCGCCATTGGACTCTGGAGCAGTGGAAATGTGTTCTCTGAATTGAGGAATCACGCTTCACCATCTGGCAGTCCGACGGACAAATCTGGGTTCGGGGGATGCCATGAGAACGTTACCTACCGCAATGCATAGTGCCAACTGTAAAGTTTGTTGGAGGAGGAATAATGGTCTGGGGGTGTTTTTCGTGGTTTGGGCTAGGCCCCTTAGTTCCAGTGAAGGGAAATCTTAACGCTACAGTATACAATGACATTCTAGACGATTCTGTGCTTCCAATTTTGTGGCAACAGTTTGGGGAAGGCCATTTCCTGTTTCAGCATGACAATGCCCCCGTGCACAAAGCTCGGTCTGTTACCTGTTACCTTGTAGGTTTGTGTCTATTCCCTGTTACCTTGTTGTAGGTTTGTGTCTGTTTCCTGTTACCTTGTTGTAGGTTTGTGTCTGTTTCCTGTTACCTTGTTGTAGGTTTGTGTCTGTTCCCTGTTACCTTGTTGTAGGTTTGTGTCTGTTTCCTGTTACCTTGTTGTAGGTTTGTGTCTGTTCCCTGTTACCTTGTTGTAGGTTTGTCTGTTTCCTGTTACCTTGTTGTAGGTTTGTGTCTGTTTCCTGTTACCTTGTTGTAGGTTTGTGTCTGTTTCCTGTTACCTTGTTGTAGGTTTGTGTCTGTTTCCTGTTACCTTGTTGTAGGTTTGTGTCTGTTTCCTGTTACCTTGTTGTCGGTTTGTGTCTGTTTCCTGTTACCTTGTTGTAGGTTTGTGTCTGTTTCCTGTTACTTGTTGTAGGTTTGTGTCTGTTTCCTGTTACCTTGTTGTAGGTTTGTGTCTGTTTCCTGTTACCTTGTTGTAGGTTTGTGTCTGTTTCCTGTTACCTTGTTGTAGGTTTGTGTCTGTTTCCTGTTACTTTGTTGTAGGTTTATGTCTGTTCCCTGTTACTTTGTTGTAGGTTTGTCTGTAAGACACTGACCATCACCACCAGGTGACTCCCACCGTCCAAACCGTAG